ATGGGCAGTGAGAAATATACCTGCGGTTCAAGATTGAAAAGGGAAGGGAATTATAGGTTAGTTTGCGCGCGCTTGCTCGAGCTTGAAGAAAAGCCAGGAGGGAGATTAGGGTTTCCTTCTTCCTCTGAGAAGAAAACGACGTGATATTAGCAGAAGAGGGAGGGAGGGAGAGAAGGTAGCAAGCAGCTGAGAAGAAGAAGGTGAGGCGTAAGTTAGGGTTTTGGGGACTCGGACTCTAGACGGGCCACGTGGCAAGTTTTGAGATTAGGCTCGTCTTTTCCTTCGATTCTGTGCGTGCTGTCCACGGTTTTTGAATAGAAGAAAGATTTGATTCACTTTGACCCAAAAAAGTAAAAAAATTTGGTTTACTGTAACGTCTCGATTGAATAATATCATGTTATGTATAAGTATTTTATGTAATTATATTATTGAATTGAAGCATCACGTGTTTTTGAATTTGCTCAATACAATTGCTCTTGTTGTGAGAGAAATTTTCATATCATGAATCATTATCTTGTGTCAACTTCAGGCATTACATTTTGCCATTGACTATTTTTTGGAGAAGTAGGATATTCATGAATGTTTTGAACAATTAAGGCGCAATTTGATATTTTTTTTATACAAAAACTGCTTCATGTTAAAGTTAAGCAGTAAAAAAATATTTGGTAAAAATAAAATATATTGTTGATTTTAAAAACAATAGCCTCTAAACAATAACTTTAAAAACAGCATGTAGGTTGTTTTAAAAAAAAAAATTGATGAAAATTGGAGTTGAACTTTTAAAATATTTTTAATTCTTGCAATAAACTCCTTAATTTTAAACAATGATATTATTTATTCTTTTAGACATTGCTTTTTATATTCACACCATTTTTAAAATACAGTTTATCAAACACTCAACTATTTTATTTTGCAGCTAATTACTTTTAAAAATAATAATAATAAGAGTTTCAAAACTTTACATTTTAATCAAAAAACATCTAATAACTTTATTTAATAATAATAATATAAAATATAAACAGATGCCCAGCGCGCGTCTAATAACTTTGCATTTTAATAGTAACGCACAAAGGGTTGGATTATCGTTCAGGGCAAGAAATACTAGCGATTTCTAGATAAGTAGCCTCCGGTTTCAAAGAGGAGAATACATGGGTATCAAACCCATGTGCCTAAGCTGCTGTCACTCGAAAGAGGATCCTCTCTAGATTCATTGTGTTGGGATCTCCTAATATGCTTTTACTAAAAGAGGATTATCTCTGGATCTATTTTGTGGAGATCCCCTAAGCGGCTCTCACTAAGAAGAGGATCCTCTCTGGATACATTTTGTGAGGATCATAAGGATCTCCACATCCTAACCGTTTTCCCATTTGATCTTCACATCAAAGTCATTGACGTAGAAAAGTTTATGTTTACATTCTATTGTTTATCTTTTTGTTGCAACAATTTTTTAATTAATGATAAGGACAAAAAAAAAAAAAAACCGTAAAATATAAACATGTATGCCTAGTGCACGTCCCTCAACCTCCTTCTCCTAATATAACTAAATAATAAAAAGTACATGAAAATACACATACATAATATATTATGTATGAATTAGCTAATTGTAACAACTATGACACTCATTTTTAGGCCTTTTACAAAGCAAGATAACACAAACATATGTTTGGTACTATGATCTCTTAAGATGTATTTTCATGTATACAATAAATAATATATATAAAAGTCATATATGCAAATTTCACTTGTACCTACTTATGGCAAAATAAATTATGTACATATATATACACACACAAAACCATTAAGTTTCATAAACAATGTAGAGTTTCATAAACAATGTAGTACCGTTAAGTTTTATAAATAATGTAGTACCGTTAAGTTTTATAACCAGTGTAGTACCGTTAACTTTAAAAAATAGTACCATTTAATTTCATAAACAGTGTAGTATCGTTAAGTTTCATAAAAGTATAGTCCCATTAAGTTTCATAAACTGTGTAGTACCGTTAAGTTTCATAAACTGTGTAGTACCTTTAAGCTTCATAAATAGTGTAGTACCTTTAAGCTTCATAAATAGTGTAGTACCATTAAGTTTCATAAAAAGCATGTGAGGACGTTCGGGTCCCGCACGTCAATTTTTTTTAATTTAATATTAAAATTATATCTTTTTTATTAAGATTTAAGTTCTTTTGTTATTTTTATAAAAATTTAAGAGTTTTTATTTACAATTAAGTTTTTTTCATTTAATAAAGTTATAACATGATTTTTTTTTGTTAAAATAAGCTTAGTTAAAGTTTTCTTATTTTTAAAGCACACTTTGATATATAGCGTACGATGTATTTTAAAGTGAGCCTCGACAAACAAGTTATGGGAAATGTCAACTCAAACAAAAGAAAAAAAAAGGGTCTCACAATAATTATATAATTTGATCGTCGTTTAAATAGAGATCGCCAATTAAATCGAAAATCTCCTCGAACCAAATCAGATCTTTGTGCCACCATCAACTCATCAAGCCATACTTTGCCAGCATGTGTGCCTATTTGGACAGAAAATAGTCATTGGGCCGTTATTATGGGCCAATATCATTTCTCATTCAAAAATGTTATTGGGCCTTGATTTATTTGGAGACATCAGTCAGTCACCACGTTCAGAGACTCAATCAAATCTATAATACTCTCTATTAATTAATAAAACACTAATTGTCAATTAAAATTCTACGAAATTATCAGTTTAACTCTCTAATTAAAACATAACATGAATAAAAAATATGGGGCATAAATGTAATTTCACACAACCAAATTTTTTTTTTCTTCAAAGCGTTGCCTATATGTAATCCTAACATATCTCTATTTAAAAAAATTAAAATTAAAATTAAAATATAAAAAAAAAAAAAAAAAAAAAAAAGCACTTCCCACTCCCACATTCTCTATCACTCTCTTCCTCTCTTCTTCTATTTCAAAAACAAAAATAAAAAAATTTCTCACACACTGTGTGTGCGCTAGTAATATTTTTAAGAAAACCTTCCGTGTCAACTTTTTTCTCCTTTCTTTTCCTATTTTGCCATCACTTTTGATACACACTATTGAAAAAAGGAGGGTAAAATAGTAATTTTGTACCTTTTGACAAATTGATAATCATGTCCCTATTTTTCCTCTTTTATCCTCTTTTTTTATACTTATTTTTTCAATTTTACCCTCACTTTTGATACACAATATTTACATATGGAGGACAAAACAGTAATTATGTAATATTAATATGCACTTATTAAGAGAAGAACCGCAATTCTCTGCTAGTGGCTTTTAGAATAAGATCAAGTTGATTGAACTCTATAAAAGGGAGAAGAACCGCATAAGGTAAGACCATCTCCAAATGAGATGTCAAATTTTAAACTTAAAACTTAAATTTAAAGGCTTATGTGGCACTTTGGCATTTTAAAAATTTTTTGCTCTCCAACCGATATGTCAAATTTTAAACATAAAATGATAATTCATATGTATTTTCTTTGCATTGGGAATGAAAAGAAACAAAAGGATAATGCTTTAAACCAATAAAAAAACATTTAATAATTAACTAAAAAAATCTGAAGGTGCTGTCAAATTTGGCAGTAAGGGGGAAATATGTCAATACATGTCATGCCACATCAGATTTGGCTTCTCGATTGTAAAACATTAATGTTGTCCTTTATTACCGTTATTGCTGATTTGGACAATTTGACATCTTCTTTGGAGATGTTCTAAGGATTCAACTTTTCAACCAAAAACTTTTGATATCAACTTGAGCTATAAGATGTATTTGCAAGGAAGCGATACTAGTTCTTAGCTCTTTTAGTGATCATTTAGGCTTTCTTTTGCCACATATGTACGTTTATAAGCTATTTCAACTTCTTTTCCTTTCTTAGTCTCTAAGCTTGTATGAACCATGTCAACTGAATAAAATCACTTTCGATTTAATTTCAAATATTATTTCGGTATTCACTAAGATGATATTAAAATCTCTAGCAAGCAACGCATAGAAAATAATCAAGCACGAGTCATTGCCCCGCTCATGGCACAATTATTTGATTATAAGTTAGTTAACTTGTGGTGTAAGTTTCATTACCATCATCAATTTCACTAAATTTACAATTCTTTGGCACATCTACAGTCAATCAACAAACACATACAACTCAAGAGTCAGGCTTTTCTCTGTGGCTTTAAGTGCAATCATTGAACATCAAAGAGTCAAGAAATAATTGTCATCGTTCAAATACGAGTGCTTTTCATGGCTCCGTATTTCGTTGATTTCGAAGGCTCTGTATTCATGTGAGGAACATAGCGGGTCCTGAGTTTTTTTATGCCCGAGACGAATCTCAAAATGTTATTTATCAAAAGTTAGAAAAATTGTCTTTAAGAAAAAACAGAAAGAAAAAATTGAATGATTGCTATTTAAAATAGCTTTAGAGATTACCATAACTTTGTACTTTAGTTTAAAATCGATATAAATGATTTTTGAAATTGTCTACCGACAATTATTTCGGTCAAATTTCTCTTAAATTGAAGTGCTTTTGTCAAATCAACCCCTTACATTTTTTTTTTTCAAAAGGATGACAACTGGTGGTAAGTCACGGTTATTCACTTCTTACAAGGGTCGAAAAGACTCACAGAGGCATTTCAGTCTCTCCCAGCCACAAGTTTGGCTTCCACACCAGCAACAAGTTTTGAACCCGAAACCTTCAGTTTTTAGTTTTAAGGAAGTCTCGTAATCTACCTTTTATCACTCGATCACCAGCTCGTAATTAAATCAACCTCTTACATTGAACTAGTGGTTTCTTCAATTTAACAGATATTTGTTGCGGAATGATCAGAATAATTAAAAGTGAACAATATCTCAACCACTCATATTAATTTTAAAACTCCGGATTTAAAGTAATAAGGTATGTTAATCCGGAAAAACATTTTGGACAAAAAGTCAAAAGTTAAAATCATGAACTTCGTCGTTGGGCCGCCGTTCCAAAACGTTGTCTGAAACCCTTGACGAGTGAGGAGGGGAAGGAAGTGAGGAGGGGAAGGAAGTAGAGCAAAAGACTGAGACAAAACTCCTCTTCTTTCTTCGTGTCTTTAAAACCCCGAAAGGAAACTTGCCCCAACATTTTTCGATTTCAATTTGCAGCTCAATCATGAGCAACGAATAGTAAGCCATTTTTCTTCTCACCAAACTTCCCCTTCCCCTAATTTTCCCTCCCTTTCTTTCAATTTTTTTTTATCACGTGCCTCGATTATCTTACGGATTTTGAGTTTTCTTCTGTTGTTTTGGGTTTTTATTTAGCGATTATTTGTTCAAGCTTCTGCTAATTGGGGACTCGTCCGTTGGAAAATCTTGCTTGCTTCTCAGATTCGCTGTGAGTTCATTTCCTTTACACTTTTTCTTTTCTACCTTTTTTGGAAAATTGTTTGTGCTAATTTGGAAATAAATTTTAGGGTTTTGAGGTTAATTATTCTGTAATTGCTGCTCTAATTAATGCCTTTCGTATTTCTTTTATCAGGATGATTCCTATGTTGACAGCTACATAAGCACCATTGGAGTTGATTTTGTGAGTATATGCATCTGATATATATATGTGTGTGTGTCATTGCACTCGGTTTTGCGCCAAGTATTCTGTTTGCTCCAAGTATTCCATTTCTATTCTTAAAGTCTCTTTTTAAGTATTTCTAGGTCTTCCTCCACTCTTTTTGTTCTGAGCCTTTGACTAATAATTGCATCTTCGAACTAAGAGCATCTGTCTTTGGTGCACATGTACTCATTATTTGTATATTTACTTTGTTATTTATGGCTTATTTGTTGATATTTTGTTTTATAATTTTCAGAAAATCAGAACAGTGGAGCTGGATGGCAAGACAGTCAAGCTGCAGATTGTGAGTAGCGGTTGCTTTCCTTTTTTTTTATTCTATTAAATGCAATTACTTGTTGGGGCCAGTGAGTCTTCATGTTTGTTTGTCAAAAATCAAAAGTATAGGTATGGGCCTATTACGGGTTTTGAATCAATTGGCAGTATCTGATTTATGTATGTATATTGGGTTTTTGGTAAAAACTGTTCTCCGAAATTTGATAATCTTCTGATGTAAATGCACGTTATGAGTTGGCTATTTGCATTCCGTTTATGATGAAAACTTTAAGCTTAACAGAACTTTAGTTCCAAAACAACTACAAATTGTATGTCTGTGTCATATAAGAGGATAGTTCTAACTAAGTCTATGTCTAATTTAAACATCTTTAAGTTTATCAAGTCTAACGCAGGCAGATCAGTAGAAATATCAAAGTTGACAGCGGGGATATATTGGAAATGTTAGGTGTGATGCGTCATGGAAAACTAAATAGGCTGTTCCATTTCTCTTGCTTCTTGATTGATCAACATTTGGTTGGAAGTTAACATATTCTGCTTTTCTGTCACCTAGTGGGATACTGCTGGACAGGAGCGATTCAGGACTATAACAAGCAGTTACTACCGAGGAGCACATGGGATAATTGTAAGAATGCTTGCTTGCTTTTAGTATTTTTTTTTTTTGTTCCTTGGGTTGGGGGTTACCGGAGTTGGGGAAAGTTAATTGTAAGAATAGATCTTGGGACCCATGGACTGGAAGTATTAGTCAATACCCTTAACTGGGATGGATGCACATGATTTTGTCGCTGGCTTTTGACTTACAAGTTACTGATTTCTTATGCAATCATTCATGATGTAAAACAAATGTAACTGCAGTTGTTTTGTTCATCATAAAATATAACAGTTATCCCTGTGGAATGTTAAGAGTACTATTATTCTGAGCTTAAGGGCCCGTTCGATAACCTTTTCATTTTAGTTTTTAATTTCCATTTTTTTTCAATTTTCATTGGAGATAGAGAGAGTCGATGGAAGGAGGGAGGAATCAAGAACATGGAGGGAGTGTAGTGGGAGGAAGGTGGGAGAATTGCACATGGAATGCCTAGCAAAATGAAAACCAAAACTAGAAAAGAAAACCTATTTAAAGTTTTCAGTCTTTCGTTTTTGGTTTCTCTATTGTGTTGTTGCATGACCACTTGGTTTAGTGAAATAGCATGGACCTTGTGAAGGACCTGCCGGATCAGTCATTTGCTGCAATCAATCAAACTTGCATGATGAAGTTACCTGAGATAAATGTTGATGTAGATTATTACTACCTCTTTGTATATATTTTCTTTTCTTTAAATCAAAGGGCGAAATATTACCTTAACTATCTTTCTTTATTTTCTATGTTGAAGTCAATAGTTAATGAAAGTGACTTTTTAAAAGCTATTCTGCAACATTAACGGTGCATAACTTTTCGATTTTACACAATAATGTAACGTGTGGTTTAACTCTTTATTGTAAATGAAGTCTTAATTCTTTTGGAACTGCTACAGATTGTGTATGATGTTACTGAGATGGAGAGCTTCAATAACGTGAAGCAGTGGCTGAATGAGATTGACAGATATGCAAGTGACAGTGTGTGCAAGCTTCTAGTTGGTAATAAATGTGATTTAGTTGAGAACAAGGTTGTCGATACACAAACTGCCAAGGTAAAGATTGTAGTTTGGTTGCCTGAACAATTAAACAATTTACTTTAAAGCTGATTTTCATCACGACACACTTTTGGGCAATTGATATGCTCAGTCCCCTAAAAGCATCACTCGTTCCATAGAACTGTTAAACTGTAGGCGTGTACTGTGTTACCTTATATATCTATATGCTGTTGCTAATTTGTTGCTTCAGATCTCAAGTCTGATTCATGCTTTGCAATATGCTTCATTGTAAATAACGTGTGTGTGTGTGCGTGTGTCTCATTTGTTGCCTTTTCTGTGGGATTGATATTCATTCGACATTTGACGTTTGTTTTTTTGCTTCAGTTCTCAACTGCCAGATTAGGGGAAAAAAATCCATATTCCGGTTATGTTTATTCACCCACGTCTGGTTACAAGTCTGGTTATGTTTATTGCGTATTATAATGCTATAATATAAATTCTTCTTTGAAAATAATAAGTGTACCTCTGAGTGCTTATCATTATTAGAGCGGGTGTAACAGATTGGAGCTTCTGGGAAGACATTTATGGTCAAATGCCCCTTATGACTTTCAGGATGATTCACGTAAAATGTTGAGTTGGAGAAAGTGATTTCCATTAATGAACATACAATCTTTGTCGATTAAGCTGTCTGTAAATAGCAATGATTTGTTAATAACTGCTTGCTGTGGCGTAATTTTTGTTTCTTGTACTGATGCACCGTAGGCTTTTGCTGATGAGCTTGGGATTCCTTTCCTCGAGACAAGTGCTAAAGACTCGATCAATGTTGAGCAGGCTTTCTTAACCATGTCTGCCGAGATAAAGAAAAAGTAAAACCACTAATCAACTCTTTCATGCTCTAATCACTTGCTTAAGACTTTCTTGTTATAGACGTCCCTAAATTGATCTTACTAAACTGCAGTTGTTTTTTTGTTGTTACTGTTTATTCTTGTCGATGGATAGCAATCTCGTGTCTTCGTAATTGTTTTCCTTTAAAATTTTGCAGAATGGGAAGCCAACCAACTGGTAACAAGTCGAGCGGAACTGTTGAAATGAGGAGCCAGCCAATTCAGCAGAACAGCAATTGTTGCGGTTAGCCATTACGTTCCTCGAAAGAAATCTGTTATAAAATCGTAGAATTGTGGAACTGTGTTGAGTGAATTGTCTGTGGATCTTTCATAAACTTGTAAAATATTGCCTACTTGAAGACTTGCCTATGGGAAAAATGGAATTAGGCCTCTTAGATGTTTCGGCATTGCCGTCCAACACGATTGAAAGAACAAATTTGCAGGATTACGAAAACTGTTGAACTCAAGTGAATCCAAACCTGATAAAAAATTAATGAACCTGATTCCGGTCCAACATATTGAGTAAAAAGAAAGGAAAACGAACGAAAATTCTAAAAAAACTTTAGTTTTAATGAAAAATGACAAATAAAGGTGTAATGAATAGTATTAGGGAAAGGTAAAAATATGATTTTTCGTTAAAAGTGAACAATATCGGGATTATATCATTAAAACTCCCAAAAAAAGGAATCGTTAAAATTCCCAAAACGTTCAAAAAAAAACTTTAGTTTGAATGAAAAATGACAAATAAAGGTGTAGTGAATAATACCAGGGAAAAGTAAAAATATGGTTTTTCGTTAAAAATGAACGGTATTGGAGTGTTTCGTTAAAACTTTTTGAAATAAAATTCATAGAAGCTGCAAATTTTAGGAAGAAAACGCTGAAGGCCCGTTTGATGCCATTTCGTTTTTTCATGTTCCATCTTTTGCTCTATGGAAAGGGGGAAAAGTATGAGTGCCTTGTGCAGTGGCACCACGCCTACCCTCACGGCCAGCCCTGATATACGGAAGAATGAAGAAGGGTGAAAGCAGGGTGTTGATTTTCAATTTTTTTAGCTTTTGCACGCTTACCTCTTTATTTTTACCAACGAATTGAATAAATTAAACGAAAACTGTCAAGGTTTAAATAGAGGCTAAAAAGGGTTGTGTATGGCGTTATTTTCTCTTGTTTGCAAAAGATAAAACAACAAACGAGAGGAGGAAATGCCGCTCAAAGGAGAAATGCTGCCGGAAGAAGAGGAAACAAGACTCGAGTTTCTAGAAATGTTCCAAGAGGGAGTTCCATAGGAAGAGGAAAATTATTAACCTAACGTACATGGCACCGACCTAACAACTACATCTCAGATCAATTCAATAATTTGTTGTACCGTTTTAATTTTCTTTTAAAAGCAAAACATTTGGGGAAAATGGTTGAATACAAGAACTACTTGAGCCATAAACCTCTTGCACGATGCTTCCAATTCTTAAAAAAGGTCGAATACTGCAAACTATTTTTCGTTTCAATGTACACACCCAAAAAATCATTGTCGTGACTACGGAGCCAGAGTATAGACATAGCCTTGCCTATACTCCATGACTCCCTCAAAGAACGTCTTGCTACGGTTCCTAATAGCAATAGTTCGAAATATCGAATGCAAGCTTCCTGTAAATAGGTAGAAAATGATCATTTTGGGTGTGACCTGTTAAGTATTTCTACAATAAATATGCCCTTACAGGAAAAACCCGGGCAACGAACAAATAAATTATAGTTCGACATAGGAATAAACAAAAATAAGTTGAAAATAATAACCCACGACAGAAAGGAATATGAAAAGACAAACTGATTTTGATCAACCTCAGGTTGAAGAACAGCAAGTCTTCTTTGTATTGACCTCTGATCCTCCTGTGACTGCAATAGTCTTCCCTTCTTTGACGCTTGCAGGTGTTGGCTCGCCTGATGAGAGAGACTTCTTACTAATAATCCGGTATATCTCTGCCAGAATTGTCTGGAAAGCCTTCTCAACGTTGATTGCTTCAAGAGCAGACGTTTCAATGAATGAAAGGCCTTCCCTTTCGGCATAACCCTGGGCATCTTCAGTGGCAACTGCACGTAGATGCTTCAGATCAGTCTTGTTCCCGATCATCATGATCACAATGTTTGCGTCAGCATGGTCTCTCAATTCCTTCAGCCACCTGCTTACATTCTCAAATGTTGTTGGTTTGGTTACATCATAGACAAGTAAAGCTCCAAGGGCGCCTCTATAGTAGGCACTAGTAATTGCTCTATATCGCTCCTGTCCTGCTGTGTCCCATATCTGAGCTTTCACAGTTCTCCCCTCAACCTGATAAAATCAAGAGGAGGTCTTAAACAACACAATTCATCCACTCAAGTGTAAGCAAGTATTGTCTTGTTGACCGAGGGAGGTCATAAATGTGATCTAATGGCAATGAGGTGGTGGATGATAGAGGTGAGACTTTGCTTGTACAAACCTGACCAATCCTAACTTTGGACAACTTGGCCCAAAATATTCAGCAAGCTCAGCAAGCACAGACATAATTCTTAACATGAGTTAAAAGTTGGGAAAACGTAAGAAGGGGAATCACCAACACAAGCAACACGAGCAACTTATAAGTGAATCTGTTTAATACATACCCACATATAAGGAAGGACCGACAGACATCCACATCATTGAAAAAATGAGGACATCAAACCTCTGGCAACCTCAACTCGTGGTCCATTTCTTAGGTTCATTTCATGGATCATTTATGGTAAAATTAGCCAAATTGGAACCCGTTAGTCATCGAACTTGTGCATACAAACACAATGGATCTGATAAATTGAAATGACAAGGATTTTTGGTCAAAATGATTCCTGAGATTTGCATAACACATAACTTTAGTCCCTGAGATTTAAATTCAATAGAAGTGATCCCTGAGATTGTTCACCATCCAGTATTTTGGTCATCCCATTAAAAAACTCCGCACATAACTTTGGTCCCTAAGATTTGCCAAATACATAATTTTGGTCCTGGGATCTGCCTAACCCATAATTTTGGTCCCTGAGATTGTCCATCATCTATCATTTTGGTCATTCCGTTAAAAAGCTCAGGGACCACTTAACGGAGTTTTTTTTAATGGAAGGACCAAAATAATGGATGATGAACAATCACATGAACCACTTCTATTGATTTTAAATCTCATGGACCAAAGTTATGTGTTATGAAAATCCCATGTACCATTTTGGCTAAAAAGCCAAATGACAATGATGGTTATCAAATGGCCAAATGATTTCCAATTTGTCTAATTTATAACACCACAAAAAACCAAGAAACTAACTTGGGAAGCTGTGACCAACCCCTCACATGAGTTCCCTGGGATCTTAAGGCAAAGTGAATGTCTAAGGTGGGCAAGCAAGAGCAAACCCCTTAATCCAACCATGCCTTCCAGATGGCCGGGGATGATTTAGTATCTAGTTACGAAATTTGGATTTCTCTTGTAGGAAAAAGGATTTGGCAACTATCCATCTAATCCCACGAGGTATCATTTCTTAATTTTTAGAACTTTTTTAAGAAATGCTTGTGTTCGGAAAAAAAAAAAAAAGTAATCAGATCCCAAATTCGGGTACTCAATGGGAGTGAAGAACAAACCCAATTGAATCGGTTCTCGAGAATTCAACAAACCCCATTCTGGAACCAAGAAACATAGCAGATCTGGAACAATTTTGCATTATAAAAATTGGAAACCGATCCAAATCCCGGTTCAATTATGCATTTCTCAAAAAAAAAAAAAAAAAAAAAAGATCCAAATTAACTGAAAAAAATTATGAACAAGCATAATAAATGAGATCAATTCTGGTCCAGTAACAAGCACAAACACAATTGGGTGTGCGTAATCTTTCTATATATATATATATATATGCAAGAGAGAGAGAGAGAGAGAGAGAGAGAGAGAGAGGTGGTGAACCTGGAGAGTCCGGGTGGCAAATTCGACGCCAATGGTGGACTTAGACTCCAAACAGAACTCGTTGCGAGTGAATCGGGAGAGGAGGTTCGATTTCCCAACGCCAGAATCGCCGATTAGTACCACTTTGAATAAGTAATCGTATTCCTCGTCCGGCCTTCTCGCCATATCTCTCTCGTTTTTTGCCTTCTTTGTAATTTCGTTCGAAATTATGAGTGCGAAAAAAAACAGACGAGCGAAGAAGCAGCAGCAGCAGCACCAGATGTGTAGAAACGGACAGAAAATCAAAGCGCTGACGTGGGTTTGGTTGGCATTTTGTGCAGGTCCAAAATGTCCCCGGTCTTTTGACTGATATAGCCTTGAATATTTAATGGTTTGTTGTTATATTGGAAATAAGAAATGGTAGAAAAGAAAACAAAATTATAAAAAAAAAATTTAATTTTTTTTCTTAAACTATCAAGTAATCTAAATACTTTGTTTAAACTTTCTATTTTAATAAATTTTAAATATTTTATTATTAATAATTCAAATTCAATCCATTCATTTTTTAAATATTGTTCTATGTTATTTATACTCTTCTTACTCAGGGATCACACTTAGTGTTTAAATTATCGGAGTCGGTGAAAATATCGAATTCGATATACAAATTTGTGAAAATATCGATGGATATATCGATATCGATGATCTTAGGCGGAAATGATATAAATTTGCTTAAAACATGAAAATTTAAAATGAAACTTTAGAGAATGTCATATGAAAATTTGTCGATAATAAACTAATCAGTCGGAAATCTATTAATTAAACGACATTTAACAGCTTATCCAATATCTTCACCCCGCCTTACATATCTTTCTCTAATTTTTAGAAGAAATTTCAAACACTGTCCACAAGTCTTTTTTTTTTTTAATATTTAACAAGTAAACAATAATTCTCTAAATTTAAAGTGTAGCTGGTCATTTTGCTATAATAGCGAATTTTTTACAATAATTTCTTGAAGATGATTTTTTAAAATTTCTCTCTTTAAAATAAAGTTTTAGTTGTTTTATAACATCTCCTTTTATTTGTGGCATTTTCTCTGCACTCCATCTAAATACTCCGTGTCCATATCAGATAACGACATCAAGGATAAAAAGGCGACCATCAACAAGAAGTTATAATATTGATTCCGAAAGCAATATATGCAAATCCAACGGCACCTAAATTAAAGACAGTTGAAGATGCACCTGGCATAGCAGTAAAATGGAGTGCTTGACAAAGGGAAAGAGATCCTATCCGAATTTCTTCCACCAATGTCACTGGATCAAGTGATCCGGATTTTAATCTCTGTCTTCTAAATTTCATCCAATGATCCACTTGTTTTGATCTTTTAAAAGTTGTGATAATTTTTTACCGTTTAATGAAATTTGGAAAGTTCAGATCACTTGATCTGATAATATTGACGGAAGAGATCCGAAGAAGAT